TGCACAAGAGAAATACTCCTTTATAACAGTGCAAAGCATCCTCAACCCCTACCAATTTGGCTTTAGTAAAAGCAAAAGAATAAACAATCCAACTGTACACTGCACTTGAAAAAAATTGAATGTCTATTAGGACTCTTTATCGACCTAAGGAAAGCTTTTATACAGTAGACCACAGCATCCTACTCCATAAACTTGTTCATTATGTTGTAAGAGGCCACACACTTACATATTTCAAATCCTAACTTACTAAGAGACATCAGTACGTCTCTATTAAGGACACAATCTCATCAACAAGACCACGAATGACACCAGGCCCAGCCCTTCTAGGGTAGGGTAGGGGCCTGAGCCCGAGCTTGCAGCTCACAAGACTGTCATTCCCATTAGTCCCCTTGGGGCGGGGATTGCAGACCAGAGAGGCCTAGCTTCTCCCTACGAGCCCCGTGAGGGCAGGAAATGTGGCTAGGCCTGGGGACAGTTGGTTCCAAAGATGAGGGGGTACTTGTGCCTCCTCCCATGGGAGGGGAGACTTAGGTCTCAGTCACTCCCTAGACAGGGAGCCAAGGCCGAGCCACCACTTGGAAAAGGCCCGGGCCGGGAGTATACTGGCGAATCTTAAAAAAAAAAAAAAAAGACCACTAGTACTACAAAAATGGTTCTACATGACCATAATTTTTAAAGGGGTGAACCGGTAAGCCAGCGGAAGGCCTTGGTCAGATGACCAAAAGCTCCAAAGGCAGGTCATCATCTGACTAAGACCCGCATCAAGAAACATTTGTCCTGTTTCCTGATGAACCTTACCTAACCTAACCTAACAAGACCACTGGATACTGGAGAACCACAGGGAAGTGTCCTTGGCCCCCTGCCCTTCCTCTTATACATTAATGATCTTCCTAATGTATCACAAGAACTTAAACCTTGTACTCACCCCTGCTGCCTCTCTCCACGGATGTGGTAGGCAGCCTCTGCCCCCTCATGTTTGATTCAGCCTTCCTTTGTGGCCAGGGCCCAACGTTCCCTGGCCTGCCTTACACTCCCTGCACCAGTGATGACTCCCTTCCCTCTCTGATTCCCAATCTTCCCTGGCACTTTTGTGCTCTGCCAGGCTGTGACTCGTACATCAGTTTGCGTGCGGACCAGAAGTAACAGCCTGGTTCATCACACCCTGATCCACCACGAGGCCTGGTCTCAGACCGAGCTGCAGGGGCATTGACCCCCGCAAATCTCTCCAGGTATACTCCAGGTATAGGATCAAATTTTGCCAGTAAAATCCCAGGTGCCAATGTCTGAGTGAGTGATTACTTAGATGGGAATTTCACAACTTCCTTCTATCTTGCACCAACCGAGCCCACAGAAGTCACCACGATTATTAAGTCACTTAAAAATAAATCAGGAAATCTTGCTCAAGTCCCTCCATTATTGTACAAACGAACAGCTCATGTTCTTTCACCCGCTATTTCATTACTCTTTAACAAATCACTAGAAACCAGCACTTTCCCGACACTACTCAAGATAGCAAGGGTTACACTAGCGCACAAAGGTGGTGACTCCACAGATGTAAACAACTACAGGCCAATATCCAAAATCTTTGAGAAACTTATGCAAAAGAAATATACTCCCTTATAACAGCACAAAGCATCCTCAATCCCTGCCAATTTGGCTTCAGTAAAAGCAAAAGCACAAACAATGCAATTGCAAAAATGCTAGACCTGCTTTACACAGCACTTGAAAAAATGAATATCCATCAGGACTCTCTATTGACCTAAGGAAAGCTTTTGATACAGTAGACCACAGCATCCTACTTCTCAAACTTGATCATTATGGTATAAGAGGCCACACACTTACATATTTCAAATCCTACCTTACTAACAGACATCAGTACATCTCTATTAAGGACACAATCTCATCATCACGACTACTGGATACTGGAGTATCACAGGGAAGTGTCCTTGGCCCCCTGCTCTTCTTATACATCAATGATCTTCCTAATGCATCACAACAACTTAAATCTATTCTCTTTGCTGACAACATGACTTAGGTCATCTCCCACCCTAATGTAGGATGACTGGATGACTGCCAATTAACTTACACTAAATACTGACAAAACGTTTTACATTATGTTTGAGAGAACAGGTGATGCCCAGTTGAACATTATGACTGACAACACTCTTATTGCTAAACATAATGAGTGCAAATTCCTGGGTCTGCACCTTGACAGTAACCTGAAATTCAACACCCATATCCAACACATAACAAAAAAAGTATCCCAATTAGTTGGGATCCTCTCAAAGATACATTGCAATGTACCGCAATCAGCCCTACTCACACTATTCTATTCACTCTTCTATCCCCAACTCACCTTTGCTATTTATGCCTGAGGATCAACAGCAGCAACCCACCAAAAGCCAATAATAACCCAACAAAAAGCTGCACTAAGAATTATCATGCAATCCAATGCTAGACAACACCCCCCTCACCCCCCCAATCTTCAAAGACCTAAATTTACTCACTGTACAAAACATTCACACCTACTACTGTGCAACATATACTTACAGAACCATAAATTCTAATAGCAACACAGAACTAAAACACTTCCTTGATAGTTGCAACAAGACCCCTAGACACAATACCTGACACAAAAATCCTTACGACATTTCTCGTGTCCGACTAAATCTCTACAAAAACTCAGTGTACATAAAACAGCCTAAAATCTAGAACTCCCTGCTCGAAAACTCTAGAACCGCAGACTCAACCACCATTTTCAAAACTACTGTTAAAAGACACCTTATCTCCCTAACACACCTCACCATCAGCTATGTGAAAAACACCTATTCTGTATTTTGTATCATGAACACATCCGAAACAAAATAGACTTACTCTCGTTATCTGTAATTCCCCCCTTTTTACACTAACACTCACCCAAATGACTGTAAACGTAAAATTCCCATTACAGTTTCTCCTCACTTAGTGGCGTACTCGTTTACCGACGCCTCGGACTTACAATGGGCTCTCTGACCAGTATCCATACCTAAATAATGTATATTGAAGCTGATTTCCTCTATTCTGTTTATTTCAATATAAAGTACACACTACTGTATATACATTTAAAACTATACCAGAAATGTTATAAATGGTGCAAAGATGGCATTAAAACAATATAAAAAATGATTGACACAAACTCACTACCATCATAGTATGCTCCTCACTTAGCGACGAATTAATTTAACGACATGGTCTTAAGAATGGAACTCCATCATTAAGCGAGGAGAGGCTGTATAGTAATTCCCACACAACTAAGAGGCTTACCAGAGGGGCTCGCACAAGTATTCCCACACTATAGTTACTGCAGTGGTCTCCACATTACTAAGGGGATTCTGCAGTGATTCCCACACTGCTGTTGCGGGTGTTAAGGACACACGGAAATAAGTCACAATGTTTATTTTTTCTATTATCTTGGGTTATTAACCCCCCTGAGGTAAACAATCTGAATAAAATGTTCTATTGCTAAGTCAAAAGAAGTGGCAGGTGCCTATACATCTCGCTTCGCCAAGGATGAACTTAGAACAGGAATTAACCTCTAGATAAGAACAAAAATTAATAAATTTATTATTCATGAAATTCAATGTTAATTACAACATTCTACAAATATGCTGTACATGGATAAGTCCCTAGTTATACAATGCATATGCAGTCTCACAGTCTGAGAACAATATGAAAAGAACTTCAGCTGAATTTCATTGACTTGAGACTGAGGGCAAACTGACACCAGTTAAAGAACCTATCATCATTCTCTCATGGAGGAGGAGCTACATGTACATAGTGCCTGATAGGCAATGCTCTCGCCTCACACAATGAGTGTCCATGGTTCAATCCCTGGCTGGATGGGACATTGGGCATGTTTTCTTACACCTGTTCAAATTCAAATTCAAATTCAAAGTTTATTCTCTATAAGGATTACAATGCTGAGTTTACAGAATTTGGTTATTGTGTGGTTTACATGTAGTAAAATAATTACAGAGTGTACCACTAGAACACCTAGCATGCTAGGCATTTCGGGCAGACTTATATTAAATCTTAAGTTTAAAATATTACAAAATTATGAGGTAAGTTGGTATTATGGCTAAGTGACTAAATACTAGTTGTGAGTTTAGCAATGTGAATGCTTTTGTTTTGGCACTATACATAGTTTCAGTACTGGAGTATCACAGGCCAACTTATGACTAGTTAAGATTCATTATTTTGAGATTGGTGAGTGAGTGTAAGTGTGAACCACCAGGTGGTATTATTAGTTGACAGGGTGTATCAGGGAGATAAGATGTTTTCTGATGGTAGTTTTGAAGGTGATGAATGTGTCTGCAGTTTTGGAATTTTCAGGTAGGGTGTTCCAGATTTTAGGGCCTTTGACATACACTGAATTTTTGTAAAGGTTTAGTCGGACACGGGGAATGTCATAGAGATGTTTGTGTCTGGTGTTGTGCCTGTGGGTTCTGTCACAACTATCAAGAAAGCATTTTAGGTCAAGGTTAATATTGGAATTTAAGGTCCTGTAGATGTAGACTGCACAGTAGTAAGTGTGGATGTACTGAACAGGGAGTAAGTTTAGATCTATGAAGAGTGGGGGGGGGGGTGTTGCCAGGGATGGGATTCAGTGATTATTCTTACTGCGGCTTTTTGTTGGGTTATTATTGGCTTTAGGTGTGTTGCTGCAGTTGAACCCCAAGCACAGATAGCGTAGGTGAGGTATGGGTATATAAGTGAATGGTATAGTGTGAGAAGGGCAGTTTGCGGCACGTAGTATCGTATCGTATCCCTGTTCACCTAGCATTAAGTAGGTACCTGAGTGTTAGTCGACTGGTGTGGGTCGCATCCTGGGGGACAAGGTTGAAGGACCACAATAGAAATGAGACAGACAGTCCTCGATGATGCACTGACTTTCTTGGGTTATCCTGGGTGGCTAACCCTCCAGGTTAAAAAATCCTAACAGAATCTTGGAATTAACTTACTTGATATGGAGTCTTCCCTAGTTGGATTCCCTGGTGACTATCCCAGATCAGCTTGACCCTTATAAGGTTTTCTACTCAACTTGCAAGAGAAGAATGGTACCTGCAAAGAATCAATATGTTAGTAACTGGCATGAGACATGTGTCTTATCAACTTAGTTAAGTTTATTTAGGTACAGGTAAACATAAGTACAATTATCAGTGTAAATTACCTAGGATAACTCAAAAAAGTCATTGACTTATGTCCATTGTGGTCCTTGTGAGTAGTTTTTATTCAGGTATACATAAATACAGTTACGTACATTATCATACATAGCTGCATATGTTTAAAGAGCCTAAGATAACCCAAAAAAGTCAGAGTGATTTATTTCCATTGGAGTCCTTTTAATACCTTATACTATAAAGTAAGATAAGATAAGATAAGATTTCGTTCGGATTTTTAACCCCGGGGGGTTAGCCACCCAGGATAACCCAAGAAAGTCAGTGCGTCATCGAGGACTGTCTAACTTATTTCCATTGGGGTCCTTAATCTTGTCCCCCAGGATGCGACCCACACCAGTCGACTAACACCCAGGTACCTATTTGCTGCTAGGTGAACAGGACAACAGGTGTAAGGAAACGTGTCGAAATGTTTCCACCCGCCGGGAATCGAACCCGGGCCCTCCGTGTGTGAAGCGGGAGCTTTAGCCACCAGGCCACCGGGCCTGGAGATAATATCTTATCATTCTATAAAGGAGATATACTACTAGGAATAAGGTAAAATTAGTTGTTTATATTTACATGCATGTTAGCTAAAAAAAATAAAAAAATCATTCTCCTCCCTTTCTATTGCTACATTCATTAGGGACCTTTTGGCACTCTTCTTGAACTGGTTCATGCTATGACTGGTTTTGACATGTACAGGCAGTCCGTTCCATTCCTTTATTGCTGTACAATAAAAGGTGTTTGAAGCCTGGCCACTGACTGTGGGTACTATAAAGTTGTGCTCTCTCCCCCTAGACCATGATTGCTTTGGTTCTCAACCTTGACAAAACTGGCAGCAAGATATTCTGGACACTGTGAGCAATTTTATAAACATGATTTAACTTCAGTTGTTTTACTCTGTCTTCAACATTCAGCATATCCAGTTGTTGTAATTCATCCTGGCCTACATGTTCTCTTGGACCCAGGCCTATATGCTCCCTTGAACCTAGGCCTACATGCTCCCTTGGATCCAAGCCAACATGCTCTTGGACCCAGCCCTACATACTCCCTTGGACCTAGGCCTACATACTCTCTTGGACCCAGGCCTACACTCTCTTGGACCCAGGCCTACATGCTCCCTTGGACCCAGGCCTACATGCTCCCTTGGACCTAGACCTACATGCTCCCTTGGACCCAGGCCTACATACTCTCTTGGACACAGGCCTACATACTCTCTTGGACCTAGGCCTACATACTCTCTTGGACCTAGGCCTACATATTCTCTTGGACCCAGGCCTACATACTCTCTTGGACCCAGGCCTACATGCTTCCTTGGACCTAGGCCTACATGCTTCCTTGGAACCAGGCCTACATGCTTCCTTGGAACCAGGCCTACATACTCTCTTGGACCTAGGCCTACACACACTCTTGGACCCAGGCCTACACACACACTCTTGGACCCAGGCCTACACACACTCTTGGACCCAGGCCTACATACTCCCTTGGACCCAGACCTACATACTCCCTTGGGCCCAGACCTACATACTCCCTTGGACCCAGGCCTACACACTCTTGGACCTAGGCCTACATACTCCCTTGGACCCAGACCTACATACTCCCTTGGACCCAGACCTACATATTCCATTGGACCCAGACCTACATACTCCCTTGGACCCAGGCCTACATACTCCCTTGGACCCAGGCCTACATACTCCCTTGGACCCAGACCTACATACTCCCTTAGACCCAGACCTACATACTCCCTTGGACCCAGGCCTACATACTCCCTTGGACCCATACCTACACACACTCTTGGACCCAGACCTACATACTCCCTTGGACCCAGACATACATACTCCCTTGGGCCCAGACCTACATACTCCCTTGGACCCAGGCCTACACACACTCTTGGACCTAGCCCTACATACTCCCTTGGACCCAGACCTACATACTCCCTTGGACCCAGACCTACATACTCCCTTGGACCCAGACCTACATACTCCCTTGGACCCAGACCTACATACTCCCTTGGACCCAGGCCTACACACACTCTTGGACATAGGCCTACATACTCCCTTGGACCCAACCCACATACTTTCCCCTTTGGGCCCAGACCTACATACTCCCTTGGGCCCAGACCTACATACTCCCTTGGGCCCAGACCTACATACTCCCTTGGACCCAGGCCTACACACTCTTGGACGTAGGCCTACATACTCCCTTGGACCCAGACCTACATACTCCCTTGGACCCAGACCTACATACTCCCTTGGACCCAGACCTACATACTCCCTTTGGGCCCAGGGCCTACATACTCCCATTGGACCCAGACCTACATACTCCCTTGGACCCAGACCTACATACTCCCTTGGACCCAGACCTACATACTCCCTTGGACCCAGACCTACATACTCCCTTGGACCCAGACCTACATACTCCCTTGGACCCAGACCTACATACTCCCTTGGACCTAGACCTAGGATGAATCTTACCATTTTGTTCTGGGTGATTTGCAGTCTATCTTTCAGTTTTCTTGTGAAGGCAGAGTCCCATGAAGATCAAGCGTGGTCCCTGTAACATGGTACAAGAGCTAGACAGTGTCCTGGGAGCCTCAGTAGGTAGTCACTGTGCTTGTGAGTATAACATTATCTTGTCAGATCATCCTGGTGTTCTCTTGACTGTCGAAAAGAAATTATGTTTAATATGGATTACATGGAATAAAGCATTGTTTGTATTCCCAGTACATAATTTCACGAGTTTACTTTATGATTTCGAGAGAAAATAATTTAAGTTTTAGAGAAAATGATGATACTGGAGGGGAGTCTTCCTTATACATACTGAGGCATATAAGACAATGAAGTGTATTTTAGTTTTACAAAAACATGTTTATAGTTTGAAAAATAGTCTTCAGGACATACCCATCATCCATATATACAATTTGGAATTATTCTAAACTAGGACTAATTTTTTTTTTGGGGGTAATTCATCACTCTTGTCCGTCTCACGTTATGCAAAAATGCAATGCATATAAAGTGCCCTAAAATCTCGAATTCATTGCCCGACCCAGCAAAAGATCCCGTCTGCCATTCAGTTTAGGGCTGTAATAAAAAAAAAAATCACCCTATCAACCAAATTTAACTATATAAACACTGTACTATGCCTGAAATCATAGCTCCAGGAGACTGTATTCATTTATAACGGCACAAAACATACTCAACCCCTGCCAATTTGGATTCAGGAAAAATAAAAGCACTAATGATGCAATTGTAAAAATGCTAGATTTGCTTTACACAGCATTGGAAAATAAGGAATTAGGAATTTATGACCGCTTGACACAGTGAACATTTTATTGACCTAAGAAAAGCGTTTGACACAGTAGACCACGGCATCCTACTCCACAAACTTGACCATTATGGTATAAGAGGCCATGCGCTTGCATATTTCAAATCTTACCTTACTAATAGGTATCAGTATGTCACCATTAAGGACAGCCTCATCAGCACGGCCACTTGATACTGGAGTTCCGCAAGGAAGTGTCCTTGGTCCCCTGCTCTTCCTCATTTACATTAATGATCTTCCAAACGTATCTCAACACCTGACGACAAGACTTACATCATCTCCCACCCTAATCTTGCCACCGTCAGTACCATTGCCAACTAGGAGCTGCTCAAAATTCTGACTTGGATGACAGCCAATAAACTTACGCTTAACACTGACAAAACCTACTACATTATGTTTGGTAGCAGAGCAGGTGTTGCGCAACTTAACATTAAGATCGACAACACTCTAGTTGCCAGACATAATGAGGGCAAATACCTAGGTTTATACCTCGACAACAACCTAAATTTCAGCACCCATATCCAACACAACAAAAAAAAAGTATCCAAAACGGTGGGGACCCTCTCCAAGATACGATATTACGTGCCGCAAACTGCCCTTCTCACACTATACCATTCATTCATTTATCCATACATCACCTATGCTATTTGTGCTTGGGGATCAACTGTACCAACACATCTAAAGCCAATAATAACCCTACAAAAAGCCGCAGTAAGAATAATCACTAAATCCCATCCCTGGCAACACCCCCCCCCACTCTTCATAGATCTAAACTTACTCCCTGTTCAGAACATCCACACTTACTACTGTGCAATCTACATCTACAGGATCTTAAATTCCAATATTAACCTTGACCTAAAACGCTTTCTTGATAGTTGTGACAGGACCCACAGGCATAACACCAGACACAAACATCTCTATGACATTCCTCCATGTCCGACTAAACCTTTACAAAAATTCAATGTGTGACAAAGGGCCAAAATCTGGAACACCCTACCTGAAAACTCTAGAACTGCAGACACATTCATCACTTTCAAAACTACAGTTAGAAAACATCTTATCTCCCTGATACACCCCGTCAACTAACTACATGTAAACCAAATGGTGGTTCACACTTACACTCACTCGCCCATTGACTATAAACACAGAAATACGAATCTTAATCTTAAAATAATGAATCCTAACTAGTCATAAGTTTGCCTATGATACTCCAATATAGACACTATGTATTGTGCCAAAACAAAAGCATTCACATTGCTAAACTCACAAACTATAATGTAGTCACTTAGCCTTAATAAGATAAGATTTCGTTCGGATTTTTAACCCCGGAGGGTTAGCCACCCAGGATAACCCAAGAAAGTCAGTGCGTCATCGAGGACTGTCTAACTTATTTCCATTGGGGTCCTTAATCTTGTCCCCCAGGGTGCGACCCACACCAGTCGACTAACACCCAGGTACCTATTTGCTGCTAGGTGAACAGGACAACAGCTGTAAGGAAACGTGTCGAAATGTTTCCACCCGCCGGGAGTCGAACCCGGGCCCTCCGTGTGTAAAGCGGGAGCTTTAGCCACCAGGCCACTGGGCCATAATCTGTAATAATAATACCATAATCTGTAATAATTTAAAGTTTAGAATTAATCTAAGTCTGTCCGAAATGCCTAGCCATGCTAGGTGTCCTAGTGGCCCCCTCTGTAATTAGTATTTTAAAACATGTAAACCACACAATATTCAAAATCTGTAAACCCCGCATTGTAATCCTTATAGAGAATAAACTTGATTGATTGATTGATATTATATAATCATGGGGGAGCGCTAAACACGTAGGATTATACAGCGCACGTGAGGGGGGGATGGAAGGCATTCAGGCTCAGTTCAGGGAACCGGAACACAGATCCAATGCCCTAGATCAAGAGCCCCTCACCAGCGTCAAGGAACCTCCCTTGAGGGGGGCTCCAGTTGGAAACTACTCAAAAAGTCCAAATTACCTTAAGATCGCTAAATCAGTTTTAAGGGTTAAATACACATTTAAAATTGTATTATTGTACTAATGCAAATTGTACTAATTATAATATATTTTGCTACCTCTCTGCTAGATTAGATTAGATTTTGCCACCGAAGTGGCTAGTTTTTTGTGCACCCCATACCAATCCTGTAGACGGTAGCGCAAGAGCATATGGAACACAAAAGGCCTAGGAACTAGGCCCCAAAGTTTTAACAGGAATACATATGGATTTCATATCTACATATCTATAGTTCACTTATCTGTTACAAGCAAATTTAGGAAATTTGCTTAGTATATCTGGTATCTTATTTTCATTAATAAGATATCTTTACATGTCATATAAGTTATTATACTGTCTCTGTATTCCTGCGGAAGATATTTAATTTTCCGAAGCTATAGTGCCCAATAGGTACTTAATGTGTTGATGTTAGTCAAAAATTGTATTTGAAAATGGAAGAGAACCAACAGGGAACCTCTGCGCCTGCGCCGATGGGCAGAGGGGAGGTCGAGACGGGGCATCGGGAGTCTTGTTGGGGATATAGGTCTGGGAGAGTGTGCTAGTTAACATGGAACCAGCAAATTGACGGTTCTGATGGTCGAAACGTGATTAGTGGTCCCACTTCATAATAGGAAGTGTTGTAACTATTCCTAATGAAGAGTGAAGGAACGTAATTTGAAGGACCACTATAACCAGGTTGTAAAATTAGTCAATTGTGAGGGATGCCAAGCGGATCCGATCGGGCACGCCATGACAAGTGTTCGGGGGAAAGATTACCAGGCTATTTAATCGACGCTCATCGAGCTCAGATCTTAATGGAGCAACCTCTAATGTGTGCAAAATTCACGAGACGTTAAGTCGTCTTGTGAATTGTAGTGAAATCAGTAATAATAACACTAAGTTAAGGAATGGTTGAAGTGATATGAGCCGCCATTCCCCGAGTGAGTGAGCACATGTTAACCTCGTGATTCCGGTCCTGGGGATTGTGGAGGTTTTATGGAGTCATGGCTCCTAAACTGGACCAAACCAACGGATACCTCATCCTGCTGGAATAAGAACCGTATCGGTGTAGCAGGACATCGAAATGAGATGGTGGATGAAGAAAATAAGGAGCATCAACCACCCACAGTTAAGTAACATTTCTAGTTATAGCAAACTGATACTGGCCAGTTAGGTGTTATAATGATAGGTTGTGGGTGATCCAGTTACATCAAGTGACCACCAGAGAAAATCTGGTAAGTGGTAGTCTCATTATTTTCACGTGTAACCCCTTCCCACCTTTTCTAATTGGTCCAATTTATACATACAGTCCACAAGTTATTTAATGCTATGTCCATTGGTGTTACCCAACCTTAATCTACAGTACTGGTCTAGGTTAGATGTGGATAAGATTTGTGAGGTCGACGGAGCCACCTGCAGTGACCAGGGGTGGGTTAAAAGTTTTCTCGCACTTCTACACGGGGTAACTACTGTAAACAGTAGATGGTTGTCACCTCCCATGAGATTACTTTTATGAATGTAATATTGAGGTACATGCAAGTGATTTAATTTCCAGATCTGCCCGATGATCCGGTTTGAAGGACCATCGGGCAGATGTGAAAATTAAATCACTTGCATGTACCTCAATATTACATTCACAGAAGTAATCTCATGGGAGGTGACAACCATATATTGTTTACAACATTTACCCCATGTAGAAGTGCAAGAAAACTTAAGCCACCCCTGGTCACTGCAGGTGGCTCCTTCGATCTCATAAATCTTATCCACATCTAACCTATACCAGTACTGTAGATTAAGGTTGGGTAACACCAATGGACATAGCATTACAAATAAGTTGTGGACTGTATGTATAAATTGGACCAATTAGAAAAGGTGGGAAGGGGTTACACGTGAACATAATGAGTCTACCACTTACCAGATTTTCTCTGGTGGTCACTTGATGTAGCTGGATCACCCACAATCTATTATTATAACATACCTAACTGGCCAGTATCAGTTTGCTATAACTAGAAAAGTTACTTAACTGTGGGTGGTTGATGCTCCTTATTTCCTTCATCCACCATCTCATTTTGATGTCCTGGTGCACTGATACGGTTCTTATTCCAGCAGGATGAGGTATCCGTTGGTTTGTTCCGATTTAGGAGCCGTGACTCCATAAAACCTCCACAATCCTCGAGACCGGAATCACGAGGTTAACATGCGCTCACTCACTCGGGGAATGGCAGCTCATATCACTTCAACCATTCCTTAACTTAGTGTTATTATCACTGATTTCACTACAATTCACAAGAAGACTAACGTCTCATGAATTTTGGTAATCTTTCCCCTGAACACTCGTC